CAATTTAAACATTTATTTAATTCCTTTAATTTAAATCGTAACTTATGTCTTTCAAATCTCCAAGTTAATGTATTGAAAATCAACCCACAGGTGAGTTTACAATGTGTATACGACACGTTTCGAAACACCGCGAAGCAGGAAAAGCGCACTATGAACCGTTGTAAACATTCGAGCGCTAGATTTTATGAAGTCTTATTTAAATTTACCCAAATATTGATTAATAATGGACACAGTGGCATAATGTTCGAGCCTTCAAGAACCACCATGCGCGAGGACCCAAGTAAAACAAGCCCTATTTTTTAGAGGAATTTTTATTATTTAAGGTACACTGTCAGAAATTTCTCCATTACTTTCAGTGTAAAAGTACATGAAAGTAATTATCTTGAACGCACATTAAATTTAATGTACACGTACAGAAACTTCAAAGTACGTGTACATTAAATTTAGTATAATTGTACATTAAATTTGGGTGTATATTAAATTTAGTATGCGTGTACATTAAATTTAATGTACGCACGAACATTAAATTTACTGCACTTGTATATTAAATTTACTGTGCGTATACATTAAATTAAATGTGCGTTCAAGATAATTACTTTCATGTACTTTTACATTGAAAGTAATGGAGAAATTTCTGACTGTGCTTTTTTCTTCTTCTTCAAGCACAGCACTGGTCCGGCCATTGGCGGCACGATTCGCGACAGCGGTAATCGCGTCCCGGCCCGTCGTCACTGGGCTCGCGGTCTGGCATTTATAGCCCACTGCGTTTGTTCAGAGCCAGCATCCCCAGAGCAGGCATGAGATGTGGCGTGGAGGCAAGGCATTCGGACGGCGGCGAGGCGGTAGTGCATCCGCTGGCGTCCCCCTGTGAGGCGAAGCGACTCGCCCGCGCCCCCACTTCGGCAAGGCCCGCCTACTCCTCGTAGTGTCCCTGATTGAAATCGGAATGGCACAGCTAGCGTCTTTCTATCACCTCGTAGGCTTCGCGGGCAGTGTTGCCGTATCGGCGGAATTCCCGCCGTTTTCAGCGGATTTTGAACTCGTACGGCGAAAAAAAAAAATGCGTTTCGCGGA